TTTCCCTTGGTAGGTTTGTCTGGCTCTCTAGGTTTAACTTTATATATATATATATATATATATATATATATATATATATATATAGAGAGAGAGAGAGAGAGAGAGAGAGAAAGAGTTAGGTTCTGTGAAATTTAATGACATATCAACAGTTATTTTGGTCGGTTATATGAACAAACATAATAAATTAATAGGTAACTACACATAGGTCCAAAACAGACACAGGTTCCGTTTTACGCTAGAATAAAAAAGATAGACATATGACTATCTACCATTTCGATTCTAGCATGAACTAGAGTAAAAAAGGTAGACACAAGTCCAGTTTTACATTCGTATTAAAAAGATGGACCAAGGTTCGGTTTTACATTCAAGAAGAAAGATGGACCAAGGTCCGGTTTCACATTTAAAAAAATATGGACCCTGGTCCGGTTTTACATTCGTATCAAAAAGATGGATTGAGCTCCGATTTTAAATTCGAGATAAAAAAAAGATAGATAGATAGATAGATAGATAGATAGATAGATAGAAACAGAATTAGATAGATAGATAGATAGATAGATAGATAGATAGATAGATAGATAATATATGAACAGGATGAAATAGATGGAAGTTTTTCAACGTGATATGGCCATAAGCCTGACTAATTTCTCCTCCTACGTTCATATCTCACCCCTAAGTTTGTAATTCTTCCCCTAGAATGGCTGTTGGGTTATTTGTTGGTTGTATGTTAGTCAAAAAATAACAAATTGGTACAAATGAGTATAACATAAATCGTTTTAACGCGAGAATTGCAAGTGTGGCGTGATTAGAATTAATGGAATTTGAATAATAAATGTTTGAATGGGAAAAAAAAGGAATTTTATTTGGGCTTCTTTTAATTTAATTTGTTTTTAGTTCTTAGCTCTGATAGAAAATAAAGATTTATTTCGGTAATTGATAGCACAATTTAAAATAAAAATACATATAATAAAATGACCTGAATACCGTAGGAGAAAGGTTGGGTAAATTAAACGAAACCGCGTGAGTCATAACGACCCGGCCAGATAGCAAATAATCAGTTGCACTTCTTGTTCGGGATCAGAGGTAGAGTAGAAGACCGATAGCTGCGAGAAGGGGGAAACTTTTAAAAAAAGGAAATTCCATAATTAAAGTAAAATATCTCATAATTTTCTATCGAATAACACGTATCAAACATGAAGAACTATAAGAAACAAATGTAGCTTAGGATGTTAAGATTGTGTAGCTCCAGTTGTTCTTGATAAATACGCAGCTATTTCAGTCACAAAACTGGCCATGATTTCTTTTATTTTCAACCCCTTTAGTTTTTGCTCGAATTCCTTGTTTTTACGGATTTCTTTTTAATGGATTTCTTTTTTACGGATTTCTTTTTTACGGATTTCTTTTTTATGGATTTCTTTTTTACGGATTTCTTTTTTACGGATTTCTTTTTTATGGATTTCTTTTTTACGGATTTCTTTTTTATGGATTTCTTTTTTACGGATTTCTTTTTTATGGATTTCTTTTTTATGGATTTCTTTTTTACGGATTTCTTTTTTATGGATTTCTTTTTTACGGATTTCTTTTTTATGGATTTCTTTTTTATGGATTTCTTTTTTACGGATTTCTTTTTTACGGATTTCTTTTTTATGGATTTCTTTTTTACGGATTTCTTTTTTATGGATTTCTTTTTTATGGATTTCTTTTTCTTGACAATTGTTTTTCTTTCTTTCTTTCTTTCTTTCTTTCTTATGAATTTACTCTCCTCCTATCTTTTGTATTTTCTTCTTTTTTAATTTTAATTTTTTTTCTTTGCTTTTTATTTTCTTTCTTTATTGTGGACTCTTTCTTTTCTTTCTCTATTTTTCTTAGTTTTGAATTGTCTCTCATTCGCTTTCTTTTTTTTTCCTTTTTTAGTAAGGTATCCTTTGACTTCTCTCTCTTTCTTTCCTTAATTCATTCTTTCTTTCTGTCACGTTGATTATAATTTCTTTCTTTTTATGGCCAATTTCTTTTTTCTTTCTTAATGACAATTCATTTATTTCTATTTATTGCCAATTTCATTTATTTATTTTTATTACCATTTTTTTTCTTTCCTTTTATTGACAATGTCTTTTTTCTTTCTTTTTATTACCAATTTCTTTCTTTCTTTCCTTTTATTACCAATTTCTTTCTTTCTTTCCTTTTATTCACAATGACTTGTTTTCTTTCATTTTATTGGCAATTTCTTTATTTCCTTTTATTCACAATGTTTTTTCTTACTTTTTATTGCCAATTTGTTTCTTTCTTTTCTTTCATTGACAATGACTTTTATTCTTTCTTTTTAATGCCAATTTCTTTCTTTTCTTATATAAACAATATCTTTTATCTTTCTATATATTGCCAGTTTCTTTCTTTCTTTCTTTCCTTTTATTGACAATGTCTTTTTTCTTTCTTTTTTTTTTTCCAATTTCTTACCTTCTTTTATTGACATATTCTTTTTTCGTTCCTTTTATTGCCAATTTTTTTCCTTGTTTAGTTTTACTGGCCATACCATTTTATTTCTTTTTATTGCCAATCTCTTTCTTTCTTTTCCCTTATTGACAATGTCTTTTTTCTTTCTTATCATTGTGATATGTCCCGGAAAGGAATATATTTGAACAAAGTAGCTAAGTGACTTTGGCTACTATAACCAAGTAGAATACGGTAGCAGTAATCGACTGGTACACGTCGTAGTCGCAGGTAAGAAGTATAGACCAATAGGATAGTCAATGGCGTAATCCAATGGGCGTCGTCATAGACTTAAACTCTGTCGTACCTACATGTCCGTCTGTATTTATGACGGACACCAGCCAATCATATTCCAGTGAGGGGGAACACAGGTGTACGCATATTCCATTATATCACATTACTAATTTTTTGCTTCTTTTTATTGACAATTTCTTTTTTTTCTTTTCTTTTACTGCCAATATCTTTTTCTTTCTTTTTATTGTCAATTTCTGTTTTTCTTCTTTTTTATTGCTAATTTCTTTCTTTCCTTCTATTGATAATTTCTTTCTTTCCTTTTATTGACAATGTCTTTTTCTTTCTTTTTATTGCTATTTTCTTTTCTTTTTATTTACAATTTCTCTTTTCTTTCCTTTTATTAACACCTTCTTTCTTCTTTCTTTTTTATCTACAATTCATTTCTTTCTTTCCTTTTATTGATAATTTCATTTTTCATTCTTTTTATTGCCAATTTCTTTCTTCTTTTCCTTCTATTGAGAAGGTCATTTTTCTTCCTTTTTATTGATAATTTCTTTCTTTCTTTCCTTTTATTGACAATTTCTTTTTCCTTTCTTTTTAATCCCAATTTCTTTCTTTCTTTCCTTTTATTGACAATTTCTTTTTTCTTTTTTTTATTGTCCATTTCTGTTTTCTACTTTGTATTGCCAATTTCTCTCCTTCCTTTTATTGACAATTTCTTTTTTCTTTCTTTTTATTGTCCATTTCTGTTTTCTACTTTGTATTGCCAATTTCTCTCCTTCCTTTTATTGATAATTTCTCTTTCTATTTGTATTTATTACCAATTTATTTATTTATTTCCTTTCATTAACAATGCCATTTTTCTTTCTTTTTCTTGTTAATTTCTTTCTTTCTTTTTTACTGAAAATTTCTTTTTTTTCTTCTTTTTACTGCCAATTTCTTTATTTCTTCGTTTTTATTGAGAATTTCTTTCTCTTATTTATTTTATACGTTATTTATTTTCCCATAATTATTTCTTTTAATTGTTTCTTTACATGCCAAGAAAAAAATATTTTTCTTTTAATATTTTCCATTTTTATGACTATTCCTCTCTCTCTCTCTCTCTCTCTCTCTCTCTCTCTCTCCTTCTCTTACGTTTTTGTCGCTCCATCTCTTTCGCTGTTACATATGGAAAACTTTTTTCTTTTTTTCTTTTTCAACGTGAACGAGTAACGGAGTTAATTATATGTTCATAAAAACGAACGAATATATGTAATAATCTAAAACGGGGATGCGTTGCAATAGAGAAAGATGCCTTCGGAAAGTACTCAGAAAATAAAAGAAGAAATGATGAACTGATATGTAATCTGATGCGGATCTACAGAAGGATGCTGAGCATACCACGGATGGAACATATGAGCAACTAGAGAGTCTTAAGAGAAAATGGAAACAAAAAGGACACGTGTTTAGGATCAGAAAAAATAAACAGTTGAAATTTCTGAGACACACGAGGAAAGAATGTTTGAAAAATTTGACACGAACAGGTTATTTTGAAGGCAAGAGGAACAGATGGAAACGATGAGTAATCTCCCTAAATGACTTGTGTAAATTGATGATAAAACAGGGAATCGAAAGAATAGTAAGAAAATAATTATGGGGAGCCATGATCGTCCACGTCCTGAAGGGGAACGGCGTGTATAAGAAGATCTTGCAAGATTAACCCACTATCATTTGTACTACAGTGAAGATATTCATTGAAATTACGCTAAAGGGAGACTAGTTGTGCGACACTCGGTGAGGTGCAAACTGACAACAGTAGTC